CTGCCTCCGTTTCTCTCTTGTGACACTCGATGGTGATCCGAGTCCCGCTGCATTCGGGGTCCATCGCGAGCAGCGAGAAGGACGTGGAAACGTATCTGGGGACGCGTGAACAATCCTGTACCTGTCTTCGCACACACAGGTCTGTCGGCACTGGCCTGGGGCCAAAGCTGGTGCCTGCATGTACAAAAGGATGAAAAATCTGGGGCTGGAGAGAGGACGGGGCGGGGGACAGGAGCTCGTGCCTTGCCTTCAACCCTGCTCTGCGGCTGTAACCCTGGCTCGAATCCCCTGCGTCACGCGTGGGTGTCAGGGGTCACTCCTGGCAATGCTCAGGGGTTCCTCCTGGCTCTGCAATCAGGGATCACTCCTGGCGGTGCTCGGGGGACCCTATGGGATGCCAGGGATCGAACCTGGATCGGGCATGTGTAAGATAAGTGCCTTACCTGCTGCTCTATCTCTTCAGCCCCTCATAGTTTATCTTTTTTTTTTCTTTTTGGGTCACACCTGGAGATGCTCAGGGGTTACTCCTGGCTCATGCACTCAGGAATTGCTCCTGGCGGTGCTCGGGGGACCATATGGGATGCTGGGAACCGAACCCGGGTTGGCCGCGTGCAAGGCAAACGCCCTACCCACTGTGCTATCTCTCCAGCCCCTCGTAGTTTATCTTTAACATGAAAAATACACAAAATGAATAAGGTAAAGGTAAAGGTAAAGGCCCTCCGGTTGATCGTCGATTTGCTCGAGCGGGCCCAGTAACGTCTCCATCGGAGACTTTGTTGTTACTGTGTCTGGCATATCGAATACTCTCGGCAGCTTGCTGGGCTCTCCGAGAAGGGCGGAGGAATCGAACTCGGGTCGGCCATGTTGGCCGCTTGTAAGGCGAACGCCCTACCCGCTGTGCTATTGGAATACAAATTCTTCATTGGTTTCTAATCTCAAAACCTGTAAAGTGCCATCATTTTACGTTAATTTATTTCATTTTTTTACTTTTTGGGTCACACTTGGTGATGTTCGGGTTACTCCTGGCTCTGCACTCAGGAATTACTCCTGGCGGTGCTCAGGGGACTCTTGGGATGCCAGGGATCGAGCCTGGGACGACCGCATGCAAGGCAAACGCCCTCCCCGCTGTGCTGTGGCTCTGGCCCCAATACCTTCCTTATAATAGGAATCTTTTATTTTATGCTTACTGAGATCACATGTGCTGTTTAAAGGGTGCAGAAATCTTTAAGAACTTAGATTTAAAAGTGTATCATCGTAACCTAAATTTCTCTGAATTTAATTTCAGCTAAAAGATTCCAACAGTTTAGTTGACTAACTCCTGACCTGGCATAACTTGAACCAGGCTAAACTAACACACCAACCCCTGACTCATATCTCTGGCCAGTTTTATTTTATTTACTTTTGGTTGGCAGGTCTCTCAGGAACTGCTCAGGGTTACCCCTGCTTGGTACTTGCGGGACAGTTGCTGGGGTGCGGGGGAGACCCCCCTCTTGCACACAAACTCTGTGTTCTGCTCCAAGCCCTCCTAGATTTTTCTAGGTAGTATCTGGGGAGATAATTCTAGAAAACTACCACTGTAGAAATTCGATGGCTAAATCTGTCGCCGACCTTCTTATAAACCCTCTGACATAAACGCGACAGATGGATTCCACAGGAAGGACAGAAACAAGATTCAATCCATCCATGTTACAATCAAGGGAGTACCCACACCATGGCAGCTAAGTCGGCCATGCCGAGGTCTGGGTGTTGGAGGGCTAATCCAGAGGGTAAGCCCTCGCACACGGCTGACCCTGGTTTCATCCTTAGCACCTTTAAGCCCTGCCCAGGGTTACTCCCAAACCCTGAGCTGCCACACGGGGTATGGCCCAGGCCGGGAATCCCCCCGACTACCAAAAGGGTTTGAAATTCTAATAGAGGTTACAACATGAACCCCAACAACTTTAAGCAAAAGGAAAGGAAGCTGAGGAAAGATTCCCGTATTGTGGAATTGTTCAAAGCAGGGGGCTTGCTGAGGGGTCTCATCCTGCAGGAGGGCTTTGGGAACGGACAGTTGAGGTTTCTTTGTGCAGGGCAGAGGCCACTCTGTGGTTAGATGGTGACGAGGGTGCCCACATGTGAACAGACCGGAAACGTTGAGGTGTGCACCTTGAAGGGACAGGCTTTATGCCATGGGAACTCATCTTTCTTTGGGAAAAAAAGAAAAAACGCTTGGGGGCAGAGTGATAATACAGCAGGGAGGGTGTTGGCCTTACATGTGGCCTACCCGGGTTCAATCCCTGCATCCTCTGTGGTTCCCCAAGCACTGCCAGAAATGATTCCTGAGCACAGAGCCAGGAGTAACACTGAGCATCACTGGGTGTGCCCCCCCCCCCCAAAAAAATGCTCACTGTTGGTGTTGGGTGTTTATACCTGGGCAAGAACCAAGAGGCAGGAAGGGCATCAGGCCTACTCATTACCTCCTCCTCCAGATAAAAGCAGCTGCACGGGAGCGTTTCCACCTTTTTCAAAGCATGTGTCTCCTTTTTAAAGGAGGTTGCCGGGGTTGAAGCAAGAGCACAGCATGTAGGGCGTTTGCCTTGCACGCGGCCAACCTGGGTTCGATTCCCAGCATCCCATAGGGTCCCCTGAGCACTGCCAGGAGTGATTCCTGAGTGCAAAGCTAGGAATAACCCCTGAGCATTGCCAGGTGTGACCCAAAAAGCCAAAAAATAAAATAAAATAAAACAAAAATAAAGGAGGTTGCAGTGGCCCTCCTCCTGCCGCGGCCATCCTCCTGCCTGGCTCTTAGCACACGGCCAGTGGCAGCGACGTCGCAGCCCTTGACCTGCCCCGAGCTCCTCAAACCCTTTCTTCGGAGAGAAAGCACCGGCTGGCAGCGCTGCCAGGAAATCCTACCCTCGCGTCTCTCCTCGCCCCAGTGAAAGGCAGCTGGGCCTGGGCTTACTTTTTCCTCATTCTCTGCATTTTCCTGTGGCGGTGTGCGGCTCCGAGCGGGCAGACAACTTTGCCCCTGTGAACCACGCACATTCCTTGCAAACCACAGGCATCCGCTTCTCCTTGGCCGGGCGACAACCACAACACTGGCACGAAGGTTTCAAAAAGAAGAAAGGAAAGAGTCAGGCACTTGCTTCCCCCTCACCCCTGGGTGCCTCGCAGCGCGCTCCACAGCGGGAAGGCTCCTCGCTGCCGCCTCCCCGGGCCTGGGTCTCTGCAGGACCCCCCGGGCTGGCTGGCGCTGGCTGGGGGGAAGGTGGGGGTGGGGAGGAGCCGCCCGGCATCCCCGCAGGAACCAGTTTAGGGAGCAAAGTAGTTTCCAGGCTGGGCCGCCCTGAGGTCTGACCCCGGCGGGGAGGGGGGCGCCTGGACCCTTCCTCCAACCTTGGCTCTGGCACTTCTCAAAGAGTGTCATGAGAAAGAACTAGCAAGGGCTTCCAGAGGCGCCGGTTCTTCGCGGTGAAGCACAGACAAGAGGGGCGGGGTGAGGACGGGAACTGAGGGGCCACAGAAAGCGCAGCACCCTGCCAGGAGCGATCCCCAAGCACAGCCAGGCGTGGCTCTCAAGTCAAAAATGAATCGGTCCAGGGTGTTGAAGAACGGAAAAGGAACAGAGACTGGGATGGCTCAGCGGTTGGGACACAGGCCGTGCAGCAACTGTTGGGACCCCTTGAGCATCGCGGGCCCCCAACACCGCTGCAGTGGCCCAGGTACTGCCCGCCCCAAGGAACTGAGCAGAATTCCCTCTTTGGGCTTTTTTTTTTTTTTTTTTGCTTTTTGGGTGACACTTGGTGATGCTCAAGGTCACTCCTGGCTCTGTACTCAGGAATGACTCCTGACAGTGCTCAGGGGACCATATGAGATGCTGGGAATTGAACCCAGGTCAGCCACGTGCAAGGCAAATGCTCTACCCCCTGTGCTATCACTCCGGCCCCTCTTTGGGCTCTTATGCTGAACCATCTCTTGGGTCACATGCTTGGGGGGTCCCAGCCCCACCCCCTACTCTTCCCCTTCCCCAAATAAAGGGAAAACTTCAGGATGAAAGAAAAGACCTCTTTAAGGTTCGTGAGAAGGTGGGGGGGGGTCGTTTTTCTTTCCGTGTTGCTTCTGTCTCTACCACCCCATCTCCTCTCTGGGCAGAACATTCTGGAGAGGATCACTGAGCAGGAAAAGGAAAGCGGCCTCCCCCTCAGCTCAGGGATTGGCGTTGCTGCGGACTCCCCACCCCCCACGGGCATACCCCCGGACGTTGGCGTGCACCCGTGCATGTTTGGGGGCCACAGCCGGCACTGCCTGGGGGGGGTCCTTCTCCGGCTGTGCCCGGTGCTGTGGGGCCGAGAGGTGCTGGATCAGGCCGGGCCTCTACCCTGCACTCAGGCCCCTGAAGCCGCCCCCCTCCTCACGTGCCTGGGCTCAGGGGTGCAGGATGGGATGGGTCGGAGGGTCACTGGGGCGCGTCAGCCCTCGGCTGCAGACATGCCCGCAGCGGCTCCTGCCCCCACGCTAGCACCGTCGCCCCAGTCTGTCTTTGCAAGGAAAGGAACCGACTCAGGCTGAAGCCCAGTGCGGTGCCCGGCGCGGCCTCACAGCTCCGAAACTCCTGCTCATGAACCCCGCCCGAGTCTACTACAACGACCAAGAAAGACTTGGCCGAAAGCTGCCGGCGTTCAACTGCACAACCCGCCGAGAAGCCCCGTTTCCCAAAGTGCCCTTCATGAGGCATCTGCTCCCCGATGCCCTGTTTTAGCTCGTTAAGGAAATAAAAAGACTTTTCTGTAGTTCTCCCCTGGGCGAGTCCAGTCACTGAGACTGTGGCCACCAAGCCCGATGGGGTTGCGGCTGTGCTCACACCTTCTGAGGGGCTCAGGTCAGGCCTTGGTGCTAGGGACAGCACTTGGCACATGGTGACACGGGGTGGGGGTGGGGCACACATGACTCCTGCCAGGTGGGTGCTCGGGCTGGGGGTGGAGGGTGCTCAGAGCAAAGGCCGGAACCACTGAACGCCATAGCGATCGCACTGCGGATTTTATTATCAAGTTTTGTCTAGGAATAAGGAAGAAAAGATACAAGTTAAGAAGGAAGGAAGTATAAAAGAGGTCAAACCCAGAATCATTCACACATCCAGAAGACAGAAGTAGTTAATGTGCTATTTACACGTCTGAAAAACAAAAAGCATCTGATTGTATCAAAATTCCAGGGTGGAGGACCGGGAAGGACAATGTCTGGCGCTGGGGGGTCACACACGGGGGTCACACATGGGCCCTCTGGGGGAATCTCTGTGGTCACCCCAGGGATTGGGCAGAGGGCCGGAAAGGACAATGGCTGGCGCTGGGGGGGAGGGGTCAGACACAGGCCCTCTGGGGGTCTCTGTGGCCACCCCAAGGATCGGACAAAGGCAGGCGCGGCCCTCGGGGTCTCGGAGACCTCGGCTACTTGATGCCGCGCAGCGCCCGGAGGCAGTGGCGGCCGCGCATCTCCTGCAGGGCCTGCTCCAGCTGCCGCAGGACGTGGAGCAGCATGGCGGGGTCCGTCTGCAGGACGTGGGCGCTGCGCTCGCCATCCCGGGTCAGGTGCAGCTTCAGGGTCACCGACGGGCGGATCTGCCGCCTCAGGCACCGGCTGGCCAGCTGGACAGTAGACGGGACGAGAGTAGGACAGATTCACGAGTCGGGAGGCACGCGGCTGCCCCGTCTCGCCCTCAGGACAACCCGAGTTTCAGCCCGGCAGACTTCCAAGTGGAGGATACGGAAGTCTCCGGAGAGGAAGGAACGAGGAAGGAACGCCAGACGCGCCAGGCCTGGAGGGGCGGGTGCAGGAGAGACCCCAGCACCAGGGCCGGAAGGAACTGGACAACGCTGGGGAAACTCAAAGAGTTTCCCGAAGAGGGAAAAAGAAAAATTTGTACCACTCAATCCCAGCCTCCAGGACACAAACTGGTCAAAAAGAAACTGCCCCGTTTCCTGATCGCGCAGGCGCCCGGGCGCTGCTCCACAGCTGAGAACCCCCCACCCGCCAGCTGTGCCACTGCTGAAAGGACCCAGGTCGCTCTGCACGCGGGACCCCCACCGGGCACACCCCCAGAGCACTGCTGGGCTCACCCCACTCATTTTTTGGTTTAATGCTTCAGGAAATTCGACTAATGGAAATGAGTCACGTATCTGGGCAGCTGAAACGAACCCTTATTTCACGGCCTGAAAGGGCCCTTCAACAGTGACTCTTCTGCAGCAACTCCGCTATTAGCCACCCAGTCTCATTTTACTAGCGATGTCTGTGGTCTGTCTGTCGGTCTCTAATCTTCCCGCCTCTCTCCCTCAAGGGACTCAGACCTGCAAGGCCAAGTCCCTGGCCCCTCAATTTTGACTGCAGAAAAAACAAAAGCTTCTCTTTCTTAAAAATCTCCTCCTATTGTTCTCTCTCTCTTATTGGGTGTTGTGATTTGCAAAAGAGGCAATGGGTGACAATCATGTTTGGTCTATAGTCTACTTTCAGCATGCTTCTCCCATCCTGGGAGGATCCTCCCAACACCCTTTATTTGGTGCTCCCTTCTCCATCTGAGCTGCTCTTTCCCCTAGAATGCCCGGCTGGCCTCTAAGCTATGGAGTAATCCTCCTGGTGCTGATCTCAGCTATTCTTGGGTATTAATCTCCTATTTTGTTACTTTATATCCCCCAGATAAATGCAATCTTTCTATGTCTATCCCTCTCTTTCTGACTCCTTTCGCTTAGCATGATACTTTCCATGTTGTACCACTTGTATGTAAGTTTCATGACTTTGTCTTTTCTAACAGCTACATAGTACTCCATTGTGTAGATGTACCAAAGTTTCTTTAACCAGTCATCTGTTCTCGGGCAAGACTACAACTGTACCTCATGATGTCTTACTAATAAAAAAAAAAAAAACTCCTCCTAACACTAGAACTCAGAGTACATCAGTGACGTCCTGCAGGGAGTGGGCGTGGCAGGAGCCGCAGGCTGGCAGTGCTGGCAGAGCCCCGGGGGTGGTCCCCTGAGCCCTGGAGGGAAGCCCCAAGCAACGACAGGTGTAGCCTGGAACGCAAGGAGGAAAACGGAAGGGGCCTTCCTCTGCCCACTGTACCCCGAAGTTAGACAATCCCCGCGCCAGAGAGAAGGTCTCTGAGAGGTGAGCAGCCGCCCCCCCCCCCCCCGCCTCCCCCCTACTGTGTGGGCAGCTCAGCGTCTGCCGGACGCCCTGTCCCCAAAGGCGGAGTGCAGGAGGAGGCTGGCGACAGTGGGGCTGTCACATACCCCAGAAGCAGAGCCTGGCCCCCCGCCCCAACCTCACTTCCAGTTCTTTTCTCCCCTCCCCCACCTGGGAATCTCAGTTCTGTAGCCCAGGGCATGAGAAAGAGCCCACCTCGTCTGAGCCTCCCCAATTAAACTGATCTGGACATGCTACAAATGAAAGAAACAGAACCGCGGGCGAAGCAGCGAAGCCTCTAAGGGCCCAAGCGACAGCACAGCCACAGCGTGCAGGCGCCTGACTAGGCCATGACTGTGACACCAGAGCTGGGTGACTGGGGAGGGGTGTGCTAAGCAGGGGGCCTGACCGCAGAGTGTCCCAGCTGCCGAGGTTTTGCTGGGGGAGGGACTCTTGGGGGGGGGGTCAGCGCCCCAAACTGCCACGGGCCCCCGTGAGGCTGGGGGAGGGGCGGCGCCACTCATGCTGGGATGAAACCGAGACCTGACCCCCGCGGCCATCTCCCTGCCCCTCCGAGCCCAGTTTTCTGGTCCTTCTGAGCAGTGCTCAGGGCACGCACTGTGCCAAGGGGTCATTCCCGGGGGAACCGTATGAGGTGCCAGAACGAACCCGGTGGGCCAAAGGTGGGCAGTGCCGGCCTGCTAACCCCCCCGCACCCCCAACCCAGGTTGTCTGTGGGTGTCTCTGGGTCACATGTGGCGGTGATCAGGGCCAGCCCTGGCAGGCTCAGGGGACCATGGTAACGCCACACGCCCCGGGCCCCCTGCTTTCCCGCTCAAACCCCCGGTACCTGCACATCCAGCCGCCACTCCAGGCTGTGGTAAGTGGTGAGGGCAGGGGCCAGCTCACTCAGGATGGCCCTGATCTCCTTCCTGTTGTCCAGGTAAAGCTGCAGCAACAGTGTGTTCAGTTCCTCGGGGAATCCCAGCACAAAAATGGAGTCTTGGAAGTCCAGCTCAGAAATCTAAAAGCGAGTCGAGGTTAAGGGAACGTGAACATTTGTCTCTGCGGCACGAGGACAGCTGACATAAGCGAGGGAACAGGCTCTGGGCGGAGTCCTCATGAGGGCACTGCTCCCCGCCGGTGACGGCGGCCTCACCATGAGCTTGGAGCTCTCCGCCAGCAGGTAGGTCAGCCCCTCCACCCCGTGCTGCACCGTGTTGCTGCTCACGCCGAGTTTTCCTGAAAAAACGAGCAAAGGAACGGCTGAGACATTTTCCTTCTAGAAACTACTGGGCTGGGGCTGTAGCACAGTACCAAGTCTCACACCGTTACTGGGCCCGCTCGAGCAAAATCGACGAACAATGGGAGGACAGTGACAGCACCCTATGGGTGACCCCTGAGCGCAGAGCCACGAGGAAGTCCAGCACTAGGTGTGGTCCCCAAAACAAACAAAGAGAGTAGGTACAGGGGGTCAGAGACAGTGTAGCAGGGAAGGCGCCGGCCTCGCACACGGCTTACCTCAGTCCCCAGCTTACTCATGGTGCAAGTGGGGGACCAGATGGGGTGCCAGGGGTCAGATCGGGCAGATGCAAGGCAGGGCAGCCCCAACCCGCTGAACATCACTCAGGCCCCGACTCCAGCTCTTTCCCCGTCCAAGGCCTAGCCACCACCTCGCCTTTGTGTGCTGGGCCTCCCAGGCCCTGCTAGCAGCTACTCCTGCTGACCCTGCGGGGTGCTGGGGGACGGTGCTACAGAGTCCAGAGCTGAATGCAAAGGCAGGCCGGGCGCTGGCCTCGCACAAGGCCCAGCACCCGTGCGGTCCCCTGAGCAATGCCAGGAGTGATGCTGTGCACAGCGCCGGGAGCAAGCCCCGAGCATCACCAAGGACGCCCATCGCCAACTCCCCCAAATACAAGCAAATAAAGTGCGGGCGCGGGGGGCGGGGGGGGGGCGCGCGCAGTCTTTCGCAGGCGCATTCGGGCTCCGACCCCTGCAGCGCACGGCGCCCCCACCCCCAAAGAAACCCCAGGAGGGGCGTGTCCGGCGTCCGGGCGGGAGGGGGCAGCGGCGGCAACTGCGTGCGGAGCCCCGACCCCCGCCCGCTCCCCCGGGCCTCGACACCTCAGAGCGGCCCGGCGACCGGGGTCCCGGGGGCCGGGGGCCGGGGGCGCAGGGGGGCCCCGCAGCGTCCGGCGCCCGCCCGCCCCGCTTACTGGCCGCGCCTTCGTAGACCTTGGGGTTCGAGCCCCGCCTCAGGAACTCCACGGCGATGCGCCCGAACTCCGCCACCACTGCAAGGGGAGGGCGCGCGTGAGCCCGGCCCGCGCCCCCCGACCCGGCCCCCCGCCCCCCGCCCCGCTGACCCGCCCCGCGCCCTGCCCCGCGCCCCGCGCCCTGACCCGCGCTGTCCACTTGCGGCAGGAAGGCCAGGTGCTCCCTGTGCTCCTCCGACAGGTCCAGCAGCATCTTGGCGGCGCGGCGCGGCCCGGCCCTCCCCGCCGCTTCCGGGACGCGCCTTGGCCCCGCCCCGCCGCTTCCGGGACGCGCCTTGGCCCCGCCCCGCCGCTTCCGGGACGCGCGTCCTCAGCGAAAAGGCTCCGGCGTGTCCTCGGGCTCCCGGCTTTGAAGTTCCGGCCTCTGGGTGCCCCGCACTCTGGCGCCCCCTCCTGGGCCAGGCTGAGGCCAGAAGGCTTTCCCGCTCCCGGGGGCCTGGGTTCCTGCCAGGGGAGAGGATTTTTTTTTTCCAATTATTATTTTTTACATGGAATTTGAGGTCTTCAGAAGTTTTTGGTTTTTGTTTTTTTGGCTTTTTGTGTCACACCCGGCGATGCACAGGGGTTACTCCTGGCTCTGCACTCAGGAATTACTCCTGGCGGTGCTCAGGGGACCATATGGGATGCTGGGAAGCGAACCCAGATCAGCGTGTGCATGGCAATCGCCCTACCCACTGTGCTATCGCTCCAGCCCCCAGAAGTCTTATAAACAAATTTATATCTATTTTTTAAATTTAATATTATTTTATAAGATTGTTCATAATAATTTATTACATTCAATATTCCAATACCAATCGCACCACCATTGCATCGTCCCACCATCATTTCCAATTTTCCCAACAACCACCCAAGCCTGTCTCAATAGCAGGCCCTAAAGAATTTATTATGTATTGCTTGTTAAGAATCACTTGATCACTTGACATCCCGTTACTCATCGATTTGCTTGAGCGGGCGCCAGTAACGTCTCCATTCGTCCCTGTCGCGTGCTAGCGTAGCCCAATGGCATCTGCTCGTTCTAGGAACACGAAGAGCCTAAGACTGATCGTTCAGTATCTTGAAAAAGAAGTCTGACCACCTCATAGGTGGGCGGCCACATGATCTTTTGACATCCCATGGAATCCAGTCCGTAATGGGTCCAGTCCAGCAGTCGTCTCCAAATCTCATTACATATCCAGTCTATCTGATTTTCAATGCCTTGGAAAACGAGACAGCATCCCTGATTCTTGACCATCAACGGAGGTCGGAACTCCGAAATCTTTCTCTCATTTGAGTGAAGCGTGATACTCCAAGCATAGCTCTTTCGATTCCTCTTTGGAAGACCTGAATAGCGTTCTCATCCTGTTTTCGTAGGGCCCAGGTCTCTGAGGTGTATGTTAATGCAGGAAGAACAGTGAAATCGAAGAAATGTGCCCGGAGCCTTGTGTTCTTCGTCCTCTTAGTTATTTCTTCGACACTCTTGAAGGCATTCCAAGCCGCTCTTTTCCTCCTGCGCAACTTAGGTGCCAGGTCATTTGTCATGTTGACTTCTCGACCCAGGTACACATAGCTGTTCATAGCTGTTGCATTCGGAGATGGTCGTTCCATTGAGAGTGAATGGAATGTCAGGAATGAGACTGTTTCTCATAAACATTGTCTTCGTGAGATTCAGTAGTCTGACCTTTCCACACTCATGGTCGAAGTCGGCTCATGGTCGAAGTCGGCCAGCATTTGTGCTGCATGGCTAATGTTTGGTGTTATTAGAACGATGTCATCAGCGAAGTGGAGGTTGTGTAGTTGCTGACCATCTATCTTCACTCCCATTCCTTCCCATTCCAGTCATCGCATGACATTCTTGAGGGTGGCACCGAAGAGTTTCGGTGAAATGGTATCACCCTGCCGAACCCCTCTCTTGATATGGATGATCACTTCCTCTCTCACGCCAAGATAGAGATAGCCACAAAAAGACGCCTGTTTTTGAAAACTCTCAGCTCATTCGCCAACGTGGCTTGGCGCAAGCCTCAGACAACTGCAAGCAAACGTCCGAGCTCACAAAGCAGTGCAGAGAAGCAATAAAGGAAGACCTCAAAGAGAGAAGAGCAGCAGTGCTGGCAGATGTCGCAGAAGCCAGGAAAAGCATTGGCAACACCCGCCTGTCCTTCGCCAACTACAAGACCAAGATGACTTCCCTCTGACATCCTGATGGATCTATCACATCTTCCAGGAGGTCAATGGAGAAGATTATTCATGATATCTACTCAGATCTCTTCGATAGCCATGTCCACCTGCCCATATACCAAATTCCACAGGATGGATACGTCATTCCCAACGTTTTCCCTTCCAAAATCCGACACACCATTTCGTAGGTAAAGAAGCAAACACTACCTGGCCCAGACAAGGTCAGACCTGAACACCTGAAGAACCTGCTGTCAGTACTCATCAATACACTGGCTTGGCTCTTCACACACTACCTGTCTGAATGCAAGTTTCCATCCCAATGGAAAACCAGCAGGATTGTACTACTGTACAAGAAGGGAGACATCCACGACATTGGCAACTATCGCCCAATCTGCCTGTTGTCTGTCGTCTACAAGCTGTTCACTTGAATCATCCTGAATAGGATTGGCAGAACACTAGATGAAGGACAACCATGCGAGCAGTCCGGGTTCTGAAAAGGATTCAGCACCATCGACCATATCCACACGATAACCAAGCTCACTGAGGTTTCTCAGGGGTTCAAGATGCTGCTCTGTCTAACGTTCATTGATTTAAAGAAGGCCTTTGATTCTGTTGAGACAGAAGCAGTCATCGAAGCCCTAGCCAAACAGGGCGTTCAAACTCAATACATCAGGATCCTCCGTGAGCTGTATTACGGATTCACTACCAGAATCTCACCATTCTTGTTATGAATAAGTTTCTAAAAATTATCCAAAAAAGTCTTCCTTAGAAGAGAGTGTGTGAAAATTCTTGTTTCTCACCCTGAAGCCATGGAGCCCTTGTATCAGAGATTACTAACATGGTTACAGGTCGAGCCCGCGTGCTAATATTCTTATTTATTTATTTTGCTTTGGGTCACACCCAGCGATGCACGGGGGTTACTCCTGGCCCTGTACTCAGGAATTACTCCCGGTGGTGCTCAGGGGACCTTATGGGATGCCGGGAATCGAACCCGGGTTGGCCGCGTGCAAGGCAAACGCCCTACCCGCTGTGCTATCGCTCCAGCCCCTGTGTGCTAACATTTTTTAATTGAGATGGTTGCCTTCCACCTTCCATCCTATCCAACGTGTGCTACTCCTGGTACATGTCATGAGACCACATTTGCTCTAGGAAGTCTACAATTTTAAGTGAGGTGATATAGCTGGAGTCAAACCTTTAACCGATTGGTGGTTTGGGGGTCTGAGGTATCTCTGCAGCTTGCTGATCTCTCCTGAGACTTATTTGAGAGTCTCTAGATCATGGTCGTTAATGAGCTTATGTGGCGCCAGAGGCAGCTTGTGGAGTGACTGCCAGGGTCCTGGGTGAACAGGGTTATGGGAAGAGGGAAAGGATGTTTAAATCAGATTTGCCCCTTGGGAGTTTTACGTGAATAATCGCAACAGCTTCCATTTCTGAAGGGTTGGAAGTGTCCCTGCACTCAGTTCTTTGAGAGGCTTTTTTTAGGTGGATCCTATTTGGGATAAGGAAAAGGAGGGGCCTTGCAACTGAAATGATAAAGAAGTATTGGTTTTCTCAAAAGCAGTTCTCTCCGTTGTCTTATTTACTTCGTCTCGTTGGATGCTAAGTGCAATAGCCATCGTCTCTCATTCGAGGACGATGTACTGAAGCTCCTATAGATAATGCAACAACCTATGGTCATAGATCACATCATCATCGACCTCTAACTGCAGGGGGCCACTCCTTGGCCCTACATTCTGCAGCGGGCTGAACTCTGGAGAGTGTGACAATTCTAGGAATGCTCTGAAACGACCACGTTGCCCACGAAGACATTAGCTGCAATTTGTCAGTTGAGAGCAGGTTGAAAAGTTGGTTCCTTCCCAACTCTTTCTCCTCACTTGCTGTGTGTGGTTCAGATGTGAAAGCTCATAGCATTGTTGGGGATGGAGATACAGTCCAGGACCCAGAGGGCTTGCTTGTAGGATGACCCAGGATTGACCCCTGGCGCGCAGTAGGGTCTGTGCACCCACCAAGAGAGATCACAGAGCACAGAGCCAGGAATAGCCTTAAGCTTTGTTGGATGTGACCCCCCCCCCCGCCCCTGCACGCACACACAGAAGTAGGTAGATGAGACACAAGGAGTGCTGGTGGGAATTTACAAAGTAAAGTAAGTAAAGTAAAGGCCCTCCCGTTGATCATCGATTTGCTCGAGCGGGCCCAGTAACGTCTCCATTGGAGACTTTGTTGTTACTGTGTCTGGCATATCGAATACTCTCGGTAGCTTGCCGGGCTCTCCGAGAGGGGCGGAGGAATCGAACTCGGGTCGGCCATGTTGGCTGCGTGCAAGGCAAATGCCCTACCCGCTGTGCTAAGACACAATATTTTGCAAATATCATATGACTTCTCCTGCCATTTTTCACGCTTTGAGGGCACACTCAGCAGTGCTCGGGGCTCTTCCGCTGGATTATATTCCTGGTCCCAGCCTGATTTTTTTTTTTTGATGAACATACAACTTGAACTTCATAAAAGAAGATACCAACCCCGAAACATATGGGTTCCTATGTGTATGACCCATGGAAGAGCATCCGAAATCATTAGTCCTCAGGGCCATGCTGGCAGAAACCACAGTGAGACATCATTTCAAAACCAGTAGCGCTACAAACCAGCCCAAACCCCAAGTACACACAAACTGGGCAAATCTGTGAAGAAACTAGAAAGCTTGTAGATTCTTAGCAGAAGCGTAAAACCACAGAACCAATCTGGACAATCTGGACTCGGCTTCTTTTATTATTAACTGTTCCAATGGGGTCTAAGCTTATGGCATTGATGTGCCAAGTCACTGCACAGCCCCATCATCAGAGTGCCTGTGACTCTCCACCCTGTCCCTTTGTCACCTCTGACCCAAACTTTCTCCCCCAACCCCCATTATTTGTTGAGTGACAGCTTTGGTGCACACGGCTCCCTCTTTTAGCACCACCCATGTGCCCCAAATTCTCACTGTGTCCCGTGTCCCGTGTCTTGCTGGACGCTCCCATGTCCCTTCTCACAGTGATCAATGGACTTCCACCTCACTCCCCAGCAATCCCACCTCGGTAGCACTGTAGCACTGTTCTCCAGTAGTTCATCGATTTGCTTGAGCGGGCACCAGTAACGTCTCCATTGTGAGACTTGTTACTGTTTTTGACATATCGAATACGCCACGGGGAGCTTGCCAGGCTTTGCCATGTGAGCAGGATACTCTCAGTAGCTTGCCAGGCTCTCCAAGAGGGTCAGAGGAATCGAACCCAGGTCGGCTGCATGCAAGACAAACGCTCTCCCCACTGTGCTATCGCTCCAGAACCCCCCATCTAAGTATTGAAAAGAATTCAAATGTGTGGCCAGGAGCTGGAGCGATAGGACAGTGGGTCGAGCCAGGAGTAAGCCCGGAGCATTGCCGGGTATGTGAAACAAACAAAATGTGCCCAAGAAGCCCCTGACCATGCAGTTCACAGCAGCTACAGAAGGAAGGTGTGGCCCTGGGCTGATGCAGAGCTCAGGCGTGAAAAAGAAAACACACAATATCCCCCCCCACCACACCCATCACTCCAGACCTGGTGGAGCACAACAGCCTGAAGACAAAAATAGGTGATTAAATCTTTAAAAGCCTTGCCCAACAGTGCTGAGGGGTTTCTCCTGACTGGTTCCTCCTGGTGGGATTTTGCGGGGTGCGCACACAACGCCAGGGATGGGATCCAGAACCCTGGCACGCAAAAGCCTGCGCTCCATCATATTACGTTTTCTCCCCTGCTCTTTGCATAGGGTTTTTACATCAAAAAGGGCGGGGGAAGGTTCTGGAAGACCAAAAGAAGAGAACGGTAAGAATTCTTGGGCTGCAGCTGTCGACCACCTTTGTTACAATGATGCGAGCCTGGGTGCAGTCCCCAGGACCACAAACACAAACCAAAGTTCTTACGGACCTCTGTGTCCGTCTTCCCAGCCCCCGTCTGCTCCTCTCTTCCCTCTCCTTCCCACCCCTCCCCCCTCTCTTTCTGGCTCTCTTCTTCTCTTTTGTTCTTTATTTCTTACCCCCACCCTTTCCTTTTGGGTGGGGTCCCACCCAGCGATGCTCAGGGGTTCCTCCTGGCCCTGCACTCAGGGGTCAGTCCTGGCGGTGCTCAGGGGCCCATGTGGGATGCTGGGGATCAAACCTGGTTGGCCACGTGCAAGGCAAACGCCAACCTGCTGTATTGTCGCCTCTGCCCTTTCCACTCTTTTCTTTAGCTTTCTTGTTCTTTTTCCCTTTTTTATTCTTCTGTTCCTCTTTCTGTTTTTTCCTTCTCCCTCTCCCTCTCTTTTTTGGCTACACCCAGCAGTGCTCAAGGATTCTCTGTGCAAAGCCTCCACCCAGCACGGTGGAGCACCCCCAATTCCAGTCTCTCGGCCGTTCTTCCTTAGACCCCATCTGCAAGGGAGCCGCCTTGCGGGTAAGGGCATCTGAAAAGTGGGAGCCCACTGGACGTCACACAGCCTGTCCACAGTCTCTTGGCCTCGGGGCTGTTTCTGAGAAACGTTAACACGAGGAGTGGGCTCAGAGTCCCCCAGTGAGGTCTTCTCACAAACGGGAACCAGCAGGACTTTTCAAAGCATGATTTCCAGGGGGTTCTTGCGCGTGGTCAGGCCTTCTCCTCGGGCGGTGGAGTTAGAAATGCTCCTTTTGGCGAGGACCCTTGCGATTTCCAGCTGCTGGAACCAGCTCTTCTCCTTAAAGGAGCTGCAAGAAAGCAAGGCGGGGCATGGAGTTCTGTGTGGTCGCTGCTGAGGGCCCTCCCAGTGAAAAGCCTCGGGTGGATGTTTTTTTTAAAGTCCTTTGTTTTGTTTTTATTTATTTATTGCTTTTTGGGTCACGCTCAGCGATGCTCAGCGGTTGTTCCTGGTTCTGCACTCAGGAATGACTCCTGGCAGTGCTCAGAGGACCATATGGGATGCTGGGGATCGAACCTGGGTTGGCCGTGTGCAAGGCAAACGTTCTCCCTACTGGACTACCGCTCCGGCCCCCGCCTTGGGTGGATTTTGCTGCTGTGTTTCTATGAGCTAGTGACGAGACAGAGGATATGCATCAGAGGAGAAAATAATCTTTCTAAGAGCAGCAACCTGGGGCGGGAGGGACGGTGCAGGAGGGAAGGATGTTTGTGTTGGGTGCGGCCACTATGGTCAGCCCTGATGCAATCACTGCCCTGCACATGGCCCCGACCACCAGGATTCTCCTGGATCTGTGCTCAGGGATAACTCCTAGTGGAGCTCAAGACAAGATGCAATCCGGGGCGTCAAACCAGTACTGGCCACATGCAATGCAAGAAGCGGATCCTTTGTGCTATCGCCCCAGATCTCTCTGTCTCTGTCTCTGGGTGCGTGTCTCCCAGGCCCTGTGCAAAGCCTCCACCCAGCACGGTGGAGCACCCCCAATTCCAGTCTCTCGGCCGTTCTTCCTTAGACCCCATCTGCAAGGGAGCCGCCTTGCGGGTAAGGGCATCTGAAAAGTGGGAGCCCACTGGACGTCACACAGCCTGTCCACAGTCTCTTGGCCTCTCCTGAGCACAGAACCAGGAATAATCCCTAAGCAGCCCTGGATGATACCTCCTGCCTCTCCAGCAAAACAAAGTAATGAAACACCAAATAACAAAACATATGTTCCTGGTGAGGCACCTGTGGGCTGTGCATTTAGAACCCTCACGTAGAACCCCCAACTAGATGGGGCCAGAGTGACAGTACAACAGGTAGAGCTTATGGAACGCCAGGAACGCAACCAGTTGCCCGTGTGCAAGGCAAGTGCCCTCCCCGCTGTACTATCACCCTGACCCATTGAGTCATTTCCTCCTGTTGCTTCAGCACCCCCAGACACCTTTGATTCTCGGGTCCAGTCTTTCTCGTCTGCCTGTCTTTGGGCGGTTGGGGCGGGGGGGGGGGGCACAGCGGTACTGGGGGATTACCCCTGGCTGGTTGCTCACTTGGGGAACCCCTTTATTTTTGTTGAATTTGGGGCCACACTCAACTGTGCCCAGGGCCTGCTTCTGACCCTGCGCTCAGGGCTCCCTCCTGGCAGGGCTTGGGGCATCCTATGTGGTGCTAGGGATGGAATCAGGCTTGGCTGTGGGTCAGACAAGCACCCCCGGTCACTCTGCTCCCTCTCCATCCCCAGAGGCTCTCTCTTTCTAAGTGCTGGGGAGGGGGGGCACACAATGTGAGGAATCAAACCCTGGGCCCTGCATGCAAAGCAGCCCCTGACCCTCCCTCCTCCCGTGCACAAACAGACTTTTTCGCTGCTCAGACCACAGCTAGATTCAGGGCCTCGCAGAGACATGCAATGAAGCCAGTGTCTCTGCCGACAAGGTGTTCGATGTGGACCTGATACTCCCTGCCTGCAGACCCTCCCTGGAGCACCGGGGTCCTCAGAGACACGCTCCTTTGTCCTCTTTGCCTGCACCCCACCGTGGGCACCTCCTTTCCTAATTGCTTCCACTCCCTTTCCCATGACTCCTGCACCCTGACCGTTAAAGTAGGCACAGTTGACACTCATCAGGGGCCAGAGCATCTGTTTCACCTGTGGGAACCTGGACCCCCATCTCCGGCACCATGAACCAAACCAAGCGAAAGTCAGAAACACACACACACACACACACACACACACACACACACACAGATCCAGGTTCTCCAGACCTCCACTCCCTGCTAGAACAATGACAACAATCACTCGCTTCTTGCCTTCCCCTGGCCCGGGTCTGCAACCCTCCCCACCCCCTGCAATAGACCAGCCTTCTCAGCCAGGGCACCCACCTTCAGCGCACAGACCTTTTGCATTTTTGTGTGTGCGCCTGCATCACACTGGACTTATGGGCACTTTGGAAGCTTACAGACGCTTGGGAAAGAAACTCATTATTTCAGAGGTGTCTGTGGCTAGATAAACCTGTGCTTCTTTTCTTAGCCTTCCAGCCTGCTTCTAAGAGGGGCTGTATAACTTTTCAGCTAATCATTTTCTGCCTTTTCTAGACTCTGAGCTGATCACTTTTGCACATCGTAGTCAGAGAATTAACAACGGTACAGGTTGAAACTGCGTGTTTTCAACCTCTCCAAAGTGAATGCCAAAAGGCTCCAATGACTCTCACCACTAGGTGGCAACAGCCCCGAGGAAATCAGGGAGAGATGCACTAACCACCCAGGCTAGGGAAATTCTCCGCTTGGCTTCCTTCTGGTCAAGAGAAAGGAGATGTTTGCTCACCAGCCCAAATCTTCCCTGGAATATCAACACCCAATAACATCCCAGGCGTATTCCTAAGAACTCATCAGAACCACGATTTCAGTGCAACCTGAAATCTATATAAGATTGGGAGTAGTGCGGGCAGCACATAGTAGGTGCTTGGGGGTGACTCCCAGCTCCTTGGGATCTCTCTCCCTGGAGTGCTCGGAGGATCGTGGGGAGCAGGGAATTGAACCTAGAGCTGAAGATACCTGCAAGGCAAGTGCCAGAACACTGCGTCACATCTCAGCTCTGCTAGACAGAAATTTTGCCTTCTGCCTTAATCATGAACAGCTTTGTGAGGGTCTATCTCATAGTGATTCAGTAAAAAAAAAAAACGCTTTAAGAAAGAATATTATATAAAGGCAGTTATGTAAAGGAATTTTGTATAGGCGTCATCAACTATATTCTATCATCCTTTTAAAATTTTTCTTGTTGGGGCTGGAGAGATAGCACAGCGGGTAGGGCATTTGCCTTGCACACGGCCAACCCAGGTTCGATTCCCAGCATCCCATAGGGTCCCCTGAGCACCGCCAGGAGTAACTCCTGAGTGCAGAGCCAGGAGGAACCCCTGTGCATTGCCAGTTGTGACCCAAAAAGCAAAAATAAATAAATAAAATAAAATTTGCTTATTTGCTTTGGCTGGGGGGCTCAAACCTGGCGATGCTCAGGAATTACTCCTGGCTCTGGACTCAGGAACTACTTCTGGTGGTGCTCAGGGTACCATAGGGGATGCTGGGGATCGAACCTGAGTTGGCCACAAGCAAGGCAAACACCCTATCTGTTGTGCTGTCACTCTGACCCCAGTTCTATCATCCTTTAGCAGACAAGTTGTAAATCTAAATTTTCTTCTGTACAAGGGTAGTAAAATCTATACTCTATACATTTTGTTCATAGTTTAAAGAATATAAAATCCTTTTGAATCCAAGAAAAAAAAAGAAAAAAGAAATTTTTGCCTTCTGAGATGCTTGTGTATAAAGACCTCTGTTTCTCTCTGGAAATGTGATTGTGTCTTTTCTTTCAGGGGCCAGAGAAAGAGGTCATAGGGCAGAGCACATGGCTTGCATGCAGGACACCTGGGGGTGGTCCCCCAAATGCTACTGCTGGGAGCGACCCCTAGCCGGGAGCCAGGAGAGGCTCCTTGAACCACCCCTTGAACGTGTCCCCACCACGCAAGAAAAGGACAAAGAAAAAGCTAACTTGAAGCATCCATGTCAACGAACCGCCTACCCTTCCCCAAACAGTGCCTGAGCTGATTTTTCATGAGATGGCCCCTTATTTCCATCCCTGCCGCCGGACTCTGCTTGGAAACGCCCCAGGCCGTGCTCAGGGAAGCCTTTGTGGTGCTGGTGGAACTGGGTCTCTACTCTCAAGCTCTGAGCTGTCTCTCCACCCTTCCACAAAACTTACGGGTCTCCCCACTACCGTTCAACCCCTCTTAATTATAACCCACAGTTTCTTATGAGCTTTGAAAAGGGGGGCTGGGGGAGAAGGCGGAAGGAGAGTATGGTGGGCATTGTCCACTGCTGACCTGAATTCCATCCCCAGGGGCCCCATACTGTTCTCCAAGCCCTGCCAGCGGTGATCCCTGAGCACAGCGTGGAAAGGAAGCCCCCAGCACCGCTGGGTGTGGCCCAGAATTTTTTTTTTACAGTGATCTTTTTTTTTTCTTTTTGGGCCACACCCAGCTGATGCTCAGGGGTTACTCCTGGCTCTGCACTCAGGAGTTACTCCTGGCGTGCCCAGGGGACCATATGGGATGCCGGGAATCAAACCTGGGTCCACCGCCGTGCAAGGTAAATGCCCTACCCGCTGTGCTATGGCTCCAGCCCCAAATGATGATCATTTTTTTCAAGGCCAGGGAGAGGAAAGGGCTGGAGGGATGATACAGCCCCCTGTGTTTGCCTGTCCTGTCTGGGTTCCATCCCTGACCCCCATAGGGTCCCCGAGCCCCGCCAGGAGAGGTCCCTGATCCAATCCCCCCAAAAGATGCGACCTTGATGCTGACAGACAACATATTTTCCTTGAAGAGGAGGCTACTGGCCACACCCAGGGGTGCTGTGGGGCTACACCTGTGCTCAGGGTCGGGGAAGGAGGCAGCATGCGGACATGCCCCTTGAAGGCTTGTGCCACCTCCCAGGGTTTGCTGATGCAACCTCCAGGGTCCGTTGCCACCCGAACACCCCGGAAGGCAAACAGCCAGCAGGCTGGCCCGCGACAGCGTCTCTGGGGCGCCCGCAGCGCGCAGCGCACCAGACGGATAAGGCGCTGACCTGGCTCATGGCCCACCCAGGACCCCCGCACCCACCAGGAGCCACCCTGGGCACAGAGTCAGGCATTGAGAAGCCCCGAGCCCCGCTGCGCGTGACCCCCAACCCCCGACAGCCTCGAAGCCCGCACCCGCAGGGATGCTGCGGGGACCCCTCCGCGCGGTACCTCGCCAGCTCCAGGCAGCGCCGGGCGTTGTCGCGCGGTGTCCTCCGGCGGTGCGCGCAGGGGCCGTCGGGGGCCGCCGAGGAGCAGGACGGGTGCGGGCAGCGAGCCGCGGGCACGGCCGGGAGTGGCCCTGACTGCGGGGCGGCGTGCGCCAGGCGCGTCTGCTTTCCCCGCGCGTCCGGGCTGGCGGCGGCCGGGGCGGGCAGCGGCAGGAGCCCGGCCCGTGGGTGCCTCTGGCCGCCCGCCCCGGGGTGCGCCCCGAGAGGCGGGAGCCGCACCCCGGGGGTCGCTCGGGCCTCGCCCGCCGCCGCCCGCCAGCTCCTCGAGGTCATCGCGCACGCGGCGAAGCCGTCCACCAGCACCGTCGCGCCCACCCGAGCCCCCCGCAGCCGGGCCCGGCGGAGCTGCCCGCGGCTGCGGCTCTGGGCCCGGCAGAGCCAGCGTTTGACCTGGATGTAGAGCCGCATGGGCAGCGCCACCCGCGGGAAGGACACGGTGGACGCCAGCGTCCGTAGCAGGAAGCGCGCACAGCGCAGGTGGCCGTGCGCGCAGGCCAGGGCCAGCGGGGTGCGGCCAGCCGCCGTGCGGCACTGCAGGGCCAGCGGGGAGCAGCGGACGAAGGCCCTGAGGATCAGCAGCTGGCCCGCCTCAGCCGCAGCGTGCACTGGGCACTTGGACACGTCGGCGTGCAGCGCGTCCTGGCACCACTCGCGGTAGGGGTGCGCGCCCACCGCCTCGTGGGGCCGCGCCCCCTGCGCCAGGCACCACTCGGTCAGCTCCACGTGGCCGTGGAAGGCGGCAACGTACAGGGCCACCCGCTTCTGGTACCTGCGGGCGGGAAGGAGTTGGGGGTGGGGGTGTTAGCTCCGTGGGCAAAGAGACGGAGGCCGTCGCACCCCACACCCCACACACAAGCTAAAGCGACCCTTTCTGGGGCCCCTCACTCCGCGGGGTGCGGGAGCGTTTACTGCAGGAGCCCCAGGGCCGTCCGTGGCACCATGAGCCCCCCACCCCAAAACTCTGAGGTCCGGAGTAACAGAACAGCCGGTAAGGCGTTTGCTTTGCTGACCTGGCATCCTATGTGGTCCCCAGAGCATCGCCAGGACTAACTCCTGAGTACAGAACCAGGAGTGACCCCTGAGAAGCAGGAGTAACCCAGAGCATCGCCGGGTATGACCCCAAAAAGCCAAAGCAAACAAACACCACCAGGACTCACCCCTGAGTTGAGCACATGGGTGTGACCCACCGGCATCCCACCCCCAACTCTCTTCCTCTCCCGGGAAATAGCCCAAAGGACCTGGAACGTATTTTACTGGGGAGGCCATCCTGCGGTGCTCGGGGCTCAGGGATCACTCCACGTGGAGCCACGTGAGGTGGCTTTCCTTGCAAGGCCAGTGCCTTCCTTGACCTCTGCGCTTTGTGTCCAGGAGGCGGGGGTGGGGGCTAACCGGGGCCACCACTTGGTCCCCAGAGCACCTGGTCAGGAGTAGCCCCCGAACCCTGCTGAGCGCCGCCAAGAAACAGAATGACGTTTATTCTCCGCCTGTGCCTGAGCTGTCTTCCTCAGCATGGCACCGGCTCTGTGCTTGTGCATGCCCCAGGCTGGGCACAGGTGTTCAAGCTCGTTCCCTTCCTCAGGAAAAAGATCAAGCTTGTATTGACCAGGAAAGTCCTGGTACAACCAACTGCTCTGGGGACCCTGGGGTGCCGGGATCTAGAACTGGGTCAGCTGCACCCAAGGTACGTGCCAGCCCACTGTACTGTCTCCAGGGGCCCTGGGATGGTCGGAATGTCTTTTTTTAAAATTCATTTTTGTTAGAAACGCCATGATTTTTGAAGTTGCCCAATTAGACAGCTGTTTCGGGCATCTAGTATGCCAACACACCAGGGTGACCTTCCCTCCACCAATGTCCCCAGTTTCCCTCCCAATCCCAACCTGCTCCCTTTGACACGTCACAAATTTCCTTTCTATTGCTTCTGTTGGAGTGTCTTGCGGAGAGCCTGTTCCCCGTGCAGTCTGCCTCCCAACCTGCAGCCCGGCCTTTGCGGCCGCAAATACCCCAACTATATTGGCCTGTGGCCGTGAAGGGGAGTGGCCGGGCAAGTACCCCACCTGCAGGCTGACCCGCAGGCCCGAGGCGCCAGCGGGGGGAGCAATAGAACATCCACGCCCGGGTGTTGGCCTGTCTCCGCACCTGAGCACAGGGCCCTCGGTGAACAAGTAGCGCTGCGCCTTCAGCGTCTGGCCCAGGACACAGCCCCTCAGAAACTCCTTCCATCCGTCCCACACGTCCAGACGAAGGGTCGTGCCTGTGGGTCAGAGATACAGCTCGAGGCGCCAGTTCCCCGCCGCTGTGCCTGGCAATCCATGAATCTTTTTTTTTTTTTTTGTGGGGTGGGTTGGGGGAAGGAGCAGGCCTGGCAGTGCTCAGGGGTTACTCTTGACTCTGAGCTCAGGAATTACTCCTGGTGGTGCTTGGGGATCCTATGGGAGGATGGGAATCAAAGCCAGGTGGGCCAGGTACAAAGCAAACGCCCTACCCACTATACTATCCTTCTGGCCCCCGGTCCATGAAATTTTGAAGGGGAACTGTGCCCAAACAGAAGTCGGCTAGATGCAAAAGAAAAGAGACCTTGGGCGAGTGGACAGAACCACTCTTCTCAGCTTCTGTCTGCTTTGGAAAAGCCAGTGAGAGGTGGAGCGATAGCACCGCGGGGAGGATGTTTGCCTTGCATGCAGTCAGCCTAGGTTCGCTCCCCGGCATCCCACATGGCCCCCGAGCACCACCAGGAGCAATTCCTGAGTGCAGAGCCAGGAGTAAGCCCGGTGCATCGCTGGGAGTGACCCAAAAAGAAAAGGAAAAGCCAGTGAATCTCTGAGCGCTGTTGCCGCTCATCTGCTCAGCAAAAATGTGGACATTAGGATCAGTGTTTGGCACCAGCCCCTCCAGGGGACTTAGGCTGGAGACCAGTTTGCCGCGGGGTCCGCCACAGTGAAGCCCAGCACTGCAAGAGGATCCGGCTACGTGGCAGCCATGGAACAGCGCCCCCCACAGCAAGCACTGCAGGGCCGCAGGGAGCTGTCAGAACACATGCACTGCAAGCAGGGGAAGGAGGAAGCCTCAGTTTCCCCTGGCCAGCTGCTGAGAGCTGTTCCCTGCTAGCTGTCCCCAAACTACCGTTAAACATCCCTGCAAATTCTTGGGCTCTTTCCAAGAGTGGGAAGCTGAGCAGTTTTCTGAGATGATGGAGTCTGTTTCAGACTCTACAAACTCAGAGACAGGCTGCCCCATCCGGGTGAGTGGCCCAAGAGAACCTAGGAGGACCCAGGCCAGCCAGAGCACCCGGGAGCCATGGGAATCCATGCCGCATTCTCTTTAAACAATCTGGTCACTTGAGAGGTAACACAAAGTCCCATTTTTCCTATAACTCATCCCCACACACAGCCCCTGTCCAACTCCCAGCCAAAGTAAGTCAGACTCAGCCCAATACTACTTCTTTTTCAGCTGGGGAGTCTCTTTTCAATCAATTTTTCTCTTTCCAACTCTGACGCTGAGCATCTTTTTGTATTTTTTGGGGGAGGTCACACCCGCCGGTGCTCAGGGGTTACTCCTGGCTCTGCACTCAGGAATCACTTCTGGCAGTGCTGGGAACCATATGGGATGCCGAAGATGGAACCCGGGTCAGCTGCGTGCAAGGCAAACCCCCTACCCGCTGGACTATCACTCCGGCCCCTCTGAGCATCTTTTTCACTCCATGTTTTCATTCATTCTTGGAAATAGTGAAGAGCCTGGGACCCTGGGTGAGCAGAGACTGGCCACTGTGGCAACATCACAAAGCATGAGCCCCAACACCCCCGCTCCCCAATAAAACTGTCACCTGTCACTGTCCTCCCGTTGGTCATCAATTTGCTCGAGCGGGCCCAGTAACATCTCCATTGTGACAATTGTTACTGTGTTTGGCACATCGAATACGTCACGGGGAGCTTGCCAGGCTCTGCTGTGCGGGCGAGATACTCTCGGTAGCTTGCCAGGCTCTCTGAGAGGGGCGGAGGAATCGAACCCGGGTCGGCCATGTTGGCTGCGTGCAAGGCAAACGCCCTACCGCTGTGCTATCGCTCCAGCCCCAATAAAACAAATGAATAAAAATAAATTCATAATGAGCTGAGGGCTACGGCTGTGGTCCAACTTCTAACCTCTCATAAAGGCCATTCTGAGTCTGCAAACCCAGATCCCAGAGACGTTGGCTTGTCCAGCCATATCCCTCCCCCAAGAGACGGGCCAAGGGACAGACCTGGGTGTGCAGGACACCCGGCCCCACCCCACCCCCATCACGGTTGGGTGTGCATCCAGGGGGAAGAGGAAGGACCCCAAGGCGGGCAGTACCCGGGGCCAGGCCGTAGTCCCTGAGGCAGTTGCAGTCGTACAGCTCCAGGCCGGCCGGCGTCCGGAGGCAGAAGACACCCACGGGAAGCCCACACCTCAGTGCCACCAGTGTCCTCAGATGTGCCACTTTGTCGTCCACAAGGGCCGCGGTCCCCACTATGGCCATCCTCTCTCTGGTGACCGTGTTGTACACGGAGAACACAAGCTGATCTTCCTCCTGAGGGGGACACAGGATGGGGGGGGGGGCCTTAGGGGTCCATCCTGGTGCTAGACACAGGACAGTTTCTTTGATTTTTGGAATTACTCCTGGTTGGTGCTCGGGGGGCCATATGGGATGCAGGGGATCGAACCCAGGTCGTCCGTATGCAAGGCACATCCCCTACCCGCTGTCCTATCACTCCAGCCTGGCACAAGCCAGTATCTACTGTAACAGGTTAAAAGGAGGGAGGCCAGGAGAGGCCCAGCCTCCTCCTCCGGGAAGTTGGGGAGCACAGGGGTCCCAGACCTTTGCTGTGACTCAGCCATTTTTTTTTTCAGGGTCTAGTGATGAATGGAATCAAACCAGAATGATCCGACTGACACCAGTTTGTTAGCAGAACATGGACATGAGTGCCCATGAAAATAGTTGGTAAATTCCTTTTTTTTTTCTTTTTGGGTCACACCCAGTGATGCTCAGGGGTTAGTCCTGGCTCTGCACTCAGAAATTACTCCTGGCGGTGCTTGGGGGACCACATGGGATGCTGGGAATCGAACCCAGGTTGACCGCGTCCAAGGCAAACGCCCTCCCCGCTGTGCTATTGCTCCAGCCCCTAGTTGGCAAATTTCTGTGGGAGTGTTTTTTTCCATTGAAGATTCATGCAGTGTCCTCTTTCGAAATATTCCTCGGGTGGGAGCAGTGCGTAGGCCATACGAAGCACATGCTCAGGGGTCACACCAGCATGGAACAAGGGCTGACTGCATGCCAGGCAAGCTCCTGACCCATCTGCTGCATGTGGGGACCCTCCTGTCCCCCGCCTGGTGCCTATTCCAAATGTGTCTCAGTGCATGAAGGGGAAGTTTTCCTATGCAGGGACACCAGAACGTGAAATGGACTATTTTTCAGAGTGCATTTCAGAGTAGAACACCCCTTAATTCTGGGGGGTAGGCCCACATCTGGCAGTGCTTGGCGGAGCATTTTACTCCCAGCACAGTGCTCAGGAGTCACTCAGGGGGTGTTCAGGGGATCCATGTGAAGGTCCTGAAGGCGTCTCACATGCTCAGCCCTAAGCATAATCACTCGAGCTCAATCTGCCCCTTAATTTATGTCATCCATCTCCCGACTTGAAAGTGAGGCCTGGTAATGACACAACAAGAGACACCCCCCCAAAGAAATAGAATATCTCAGATTTCAGGAAGCCATTTTTCAAAGAAAGAACTCGCTCGTTCCCCAAGTTCCTGAACTTGGCCAAAGTCTTGGGTTTGCCTCACTCTGCCTCAGTTGAACCCAGAGAAATTGAGACCTGGTTTTGTTGATTCTCAGAAGGCAGAAGTAATTGCATCGAATAATAAATGACAAAGCAGGAAAGGCACGAAATGGGTTTCCATCCACTTGACTGTGCAGTAAAAGCACGACTTGGAATCAGCTCTCGGTACCTGAGGCAGATCAAACCACTGAGAGCCAGTACGGCCAGGTTCCCTGAGGAACACTCATTTTCATCAAGTGTTCTGGTTGCTGTACTTCCACTTCAGGCTGCCACAGAAGCTAATAGGACAGAAACCAGTATTTAAGGCCTCTGTAGGAAATTCTCTGCCCCCCCCCCCCCGAGTGTTTTTCTCCCCCAAAGTAGGGATAATGAATTCTTTAAGTGAGATGTTATTAAGGTTAAGATCAGTAAGATTTTCATCGAACTGGAAAGTTTTCGATTATACCCCATGCCTATATATCTGGCGGGGGCCTGCTCTGTATTTTTTGGGGGAAATGTCGCGTCAGGTCTTTTGCCCTTTTCTTTTTCTTTTGGTTTGTTTTTGGATCTCACGCAAGTGGTGTTCAGGGGTTACTCCTGGCTCTGCCTCAGGAATGACTCCTGGCAGTCAGTGCTCTGGGAACCATATGGGATGCTGAGGATTGAACCTGGGTCAGCCACGTGCAGAGCAAGTGCTCTTCCTGCTATCCGGTTGCTCTACCCATTTTTTTTTTCAAACTGATATGTTGGTAGTAGTGTGTAGTTACAGGAGTTCTGAATATTCTAGATACTTACCCAGTTTTGGTTACTTTCTTGTCTTTTTACTTTTCTTTCCTGATTAATGTCTTTTGATGCCTAAAGCCTAAAGCTTATTTTGGTTAACTTCAATTTCTCTTTTTTGTGGGGTTAGAGAGAGAGTACAGCAGTTAGGGCAGTCGTCTTGCACGCAGCCGACTCTGGCCAGTTCCCAGATCCCATGGTTTCCTGCCTGCTCAGAGTTTCCCTGAGCACCACTGGGAGTGGCCCCCAAACCCGCAATGTTTTTTTTTTTAATCTTATATAACCAATCTATCTACTTTACTTATCTTTACTTATCTTTTATACTTAGATCTTTAATCCATTCTAATTATTTTTGGTGTGTAATATAATGTAAGAGCCCAATATGTTCTTATCATTTGAACATCTACTTTTCCCAGTACCTTTCCCTGTTGGTCTTGGACTCTTGTTGAAATCATTTGACTGTAAATGTGAAGATTTATTTCTAGTAAAGTAAGTAAGTAAAGGCCCTCCCGTTGATCATCGATTTGCTCAAGCGGGCCCAGTAACGTCTCCATTGGAGACTTTGTTGTTACTGTGTTGGCATATCGAATACGTCACGGGGAGCTTGCCAGGCCCTGCCGTGGGGGCGAGATCCTCTCGGTAGCTTGCCGGGCTCTCCGAGAGGGGCGGAGGAATCGAACTCGGGTCGGCCATGTTGGCTGCGTGCAAGGCAAACGCCCTACCGCTGTGCTATTGCTCCAGCCCTTATTTCTAGTCTCTCTTTTTTATTCCATTTTTTAAATACAGCTATCCTTGTGTTGTGCTAGCACCTAATTGTTTTTTTTTTGTTTGTTTTCATTTTTCCATGTTTCTTCTTTGTTTTTTTGGCCATACTGGTGGTGCTCAGGGCTTACTCTTTGCTCTGTGACGAGGGAACTACATGGGACGCCCCTGATTGAATCCAGGTCTGCTGCACACAAGGCAAGTGTCCTACCCGCCGTACTATCTCTTTTGTCCCTTACGTTTGTTTTAATTTTTATTATTTATTTATTTATTTTTGCTTTTTGGGTCTGGAGCGATAGCACAGCAGGTAAGGCGTTTGCCTTGCATGCGGCCAACATAACCGACCGGAGTTCAATTGCTCCCCAAGAGCCCAGCAAGCTACCGAGAGTATCTCATCTGCTTGGAAAAGCCTGACAAGCTCCCCGTGACGTATTCAATATGCCAAATACAGTAACAGGAAGTCTCACAATTTGTTGTGAGACATTACTGGTACCCGCTCGAGCAAATCGATGAACAACGGGAGGACAGTGCTACAGTGCTATGGCGAAATGCCAAAAGTGTGAACACCATTGGAAACCAGTATCACTCCTAGACAGTATTTCCCCCCCAAAATACTACAAAAATAGTAATTTGAGGAGTGGAGAAATAGTTCAAGGGTAAGACACTTGCAGTGTGTGTGGCTGACCTGGTTTGGTCTGTTCTGCAGGTGACCCCCTGAGCATAGAGACAGGACTAACCCCTGAGCACCATGAGGTGTGACTTCAAGACGCCCTAGAACAAATCCCCCATCTTTTCACCCCTATGTTCATAGCAGCCAAAATAGGGGATCAACCCAAATGCCTGTGAATGGCTGACCAGATGGAGCAGCTTTGGTCAACACACTCAATGAAATACTACTTAGCTGTTAAAAAGAAGAGATCGTGTCTTTTGTGACACCATGGCTGGAACTCGAGGTTTTTCTGTTGATGTGCTTGCTCACTTGTGCCAGGCCCGAGGAAGCCTCTTTCTGTGGGTGAGCGGTGATTATCTACAGCATTGTCTGAGGCAAGGCTGACGTCTTAGACAATGATGATTCTGGTCCTCATACCTTGGTAGAGCACTTGAGAGTTGAACAGGGAGAGATTCCCACATCTGCAAGACTCCAGCTGTCCTGCAGAGTTGCTCCTGCGTGCGTGAGCTCCAGGCACTGTCTGCCCCGCTTGTCTTCAGAGAGAGGAAAGTGGAAGCGGTCCTGCACAGTGAACAGCGGTGATGAGAATGCCACATCTCCCTGGGACTCGCCCGCATGCAGCCCTATGTGACTTGTCTCCAACGAGCCTCCCCAAATACTCGAGACAGAGGGAAGAAGCGGCAGTAGCAGTTTGACATTTGGAGTCTGTAGGACTGGAGCGATAGCACAGTGGGTTGGGTGTTTGCCTTGCATGCGGCCGACCCCGATTGGACTCCTCTGTCCCTCTTGGAGAGTCCAGCAAGCTACTGAGAATATCCCGCCCCCATGGCAGAGCCTGGCAAGCTCCCCATGGCAGATTCGATATGCCAAAAACAGTAACAACAAGTCTCACAATGGAGACGTTACTGGCGTGCGCTCAAGCAAATCGATGAACAACGGGACAGGACAACAGTGCTACAGACCTTGTCCAAAGTTGAAGGTGGAATAAAGATGCAAGAAAACTCCCTTTTCTCCCCTTCTTTCCCTCTCCTACTCTCCCCTTTCCTTCCTCTCCCTTCCCCTCCTCTCCTCTTCTCTACCTTCCCTCTCCCCTTCCCTCCCCTCCCCTTTTATTTTTCCTTTCTTTTCTTTTTTGTTTGTTTTGTTTGCAGGCCACCTTCAGCCATGCTCAGGGGTTGCTCCTGGCTCTGCATTCAGGATTACCCCTGGTCATGCTCGGAAAACCACAGGAGATGCCAGGTATCAAATCCAGGTTGGCTGCATGTAAGAGAAACACCCTACCCGCTGTACTGTCACTCTGATCCTTCCATTTTATTTTCATAAATTCAAAATAAATTTAAGATTTTTCTTTACTGTGACATAGATGTAGATATGTGTCTCTGTGTGTATATATGCACGTAGACAATGCATCTACTCCAGAAAATACACTAAAAAGTGTGGAATGAGAGTTGGGGAGATGCAGGAGGTGGCTCTATGGGCAGAGTAAGGGTTTTGCATGGCGGAGCCCTAGGTTCAACTCCTGGCACTGCATGGTGCCCCGAGCACTGCCGAGTGTGCCCTCAAGCCCCCATAGAACATGAATCAAACCTCTGAATGGAACTTAAGTGAGTAACAAAGACAGTCACCTGATGGCTTAATTGTTTTTGCAGGGGAGGGAGGTTCAGGGTTACCTGTAGGGGCTACCCTTGGTTCTGTGCTGGGGGTTAGCTGCGTGCAAGGCAGGTGACTTCATCTTACCATTCTACAGCAGTTTTTTTTTGTTTTTTTGTTTTTTTTTTTTTGCTTTTTGGGTCACACCCAGCAATGCACAGAGGTTACTCCTGGCTCGGCATTCAGGAATCACCCCTGGTGGTGCTCAGGGGACCATATGGGATGCTGGGAATCGAACCCGAGTTGGCCGCGTGCAAGGCAAACGCCCTCCCCACTGTGCTATTGCTCCAGCCACGCAGGTTTTTTTTTTTTTTTTTTGCATCACACCCTGCAAGCTCCCTGTGACTATTCCATATGCCAAACACAGTAACAACAAAGTCTCCAATGGAGACGTTACTGGGCCCGCTCGAGCAAATCGATGATCAACGGGAGGGCCTTTACTTTACTTTTTATCACACCCTGCAGTGCTCAGGGGCTACTCCTGGTGACCCCCATGTGCTGAGACCCCTCCCAGGGATATGTGAGGAGTGCAGGCCCTCGAACCCTCTCCCCACCCTACTAAATATCCCTAAGAAAACTTTAAGAGGTACTGGACCTGGGGCTCGAGCACCAGCACGTAAGGCGCCTGCCTCACACACAGCAGACCCCCGTGGCTACAGCCCACCAGAAGCGACCCCTGAGTGCAGAGTCAGGAGTAAACTCTAAGCACAGCCAAGTATGGCTCAAAACCAAAAAGAAAAGAAATAACAAAAAGAAGGCTGGAATGGTCGTGTAGCTGCTAGGGCATTTGCTTTGCATGTGGCCAACCCAGACTCAATCCCAGGCATCCCAAACATTCCCCCAAGCAGCACCAGGAGTAATTCCTGAGTGCAGAGCCAGGAATAACCTCTGAGCATTGTTGGGTGTGTGATCCCCCAAAAAAGTAAATAAAAAGGAACTGGCCCAGATGATGTCTTAGCTTGACTTTTTTTTTTTAAATTAAAAGTCTTTTTTATTTATTTTGACTTTTTGGGTCACACCGCAATGCTCAGGGGTTACTCCAGGTTGTGCACTCAGGGATCACTCTTGGCGGTGCTCGGGGACCATGTGGGATGCCGGGGATCGAACCTGGGTCGGCAGCATACAAGTCAAATGCCCTCCCCGCTGTGCTATCGCTCCAGCCCCCTGAGTTTGACTCTGGGTAGGATGCCAATCTCTTTGAAGTACAATTTCTCCTGGATTCAAAATATAGCTGTGCCCTTGAACAGTCTCCAGTCTCCTGGCCACCTCCCAAATTTGTTGGTTCTTTTTGGCTCTTTCATGTGGCTTAGTCACCAACAAGCCATCTCCCTGGCAACTGGCACGCTCCACTTAGTGATAAGCGAGAGGTGGTCCTCTGCGTTTGCCCCTTCAGAAAGAATTGCGGTGATACTCGCTGCCCTCCGCAGCACACAGACTTGCTGGTGACAATGGGGAGAATGGCGGGGAGGGTGCCAGGGACCAAACCCTGGATGCTCACATTTCAGGCGTCCATTCTACCTCTGAGTCACAGCTCCAGTCCCACAACCCACAGAGGTAATAAAGGCGGGTCATGGGGAGGGAGTTCGATGGGCTGAGCAACACTGTGCACGTGGAACGCCTGGGCATGACACCTGGCACCACACGGTCCCCAAGATTTGGCTAAGAGACTCCTGAGCACACGGCTGGGAGCGAGGTGTGTCCTCACCCCCCAATCCCACCAATTCTTAGTAAAGACAACTTGGGTTGGTTGGTTGTTTTTTGTGAGAATTTATTGACTTGCCTTTTACCCTCCATCTCAGTGTCTCTAGTCATCATCTTAATCAAATTATCCTGTAAGTAGATAATTATATTCTCAAATAGCTTTAGTTCTTTGTTTCCTGAAAATGTCCCAAATAGTCCTTACAGCCTATGTTTGGTGCAAATTGCATTGCAGTGAAGCCAGAGAGATGGTTCAGGGGGTAAGAGATGGTTCAGCGGGTAAAATATGGTAGTGGGGAAGGTGCTTGCCTTGTATTACAGCTCACCCGGTTTGATCTCCAACATCCCATATGGTCCTTCTAGCCTTCCGGGTCTGACCCCTGAGCATCACCAGATGTGGCCCCCCGAAACCAAAACAAATAAATTACATCTCATCAGCAGGAGACAGTAAGCGGGCAAGGTCCTTCCTTGCCTTGTATGCAGCCCACATGGGTTTATTGGGGGGCGGGGTTGGGGACTCACCTGGCAATGCTCAGGGCTGACTCCTGGCTCTGCACTCAGGAATCACTCCTGTTGGTGCTTGGTGGTACTTACGGGATGCTGGGGATCAAACCCAAGTCAGCTGTGTGCAAGGAAAATGCCATCCTCACTGAACTATCTTTCTGGCCGCGTAGCCCACCTGGATTTGATCCCTGGCACTGTCTATGTTCCCCTGTGCCACTCCAGGAGCGATCCCTGAGCACCACTGGGCGTGTTCCTCACCCTCAAAATACGTCTAAACGTCTCCACACGGTTGAAATGGACATGCACGCCTGGTGACCCAGAGACAAGGCTCAGACACACCTTTATCATCAGCTTCACGGCAGCCACCGTTTCATCTGTCGAAACGTCAAACGCTTCAAACGCCCCCTCAAAGGCTATGTAAATCTTCATTTTCTAGGGGGAAAAAATGACAAAAATGAAACAACTGTTTTCAAAGATGTAGAAAATTCGCAATGCTCCATGAGGGACAAACGTGAGGGCCGGAAGCTGCCCTTCGCACTGGGAGCCAAGGCAGCTTGAGAGCCGTCGAGGGGGCCGAGCTCTCAGGGGAGCGTCACGGGCGGCAGCTCTGAGCAAATGTTTCTGCGGTCACAACCAGTACTCTCCCATGTCACGGAAATTGCCATCTTGACAATGGTGGGGCAAGCGTTGAGCAACCTGCATGTACAGCACCCAGAAACACCACCCCCAGCCCCCCAGAGTGAGGGGACCCCTCGCAGCTTCCTGGCTCTGGAATCTTTACCTGCTGGACCCGGCTGCTGGCGGAAGGGAAACAGGAGGCGAGAACGCAGCCCAGGAGGGCAGCAGAGAGGGCCCCACCGAAATTCCCCGCAGAGAGAAGCACTCCGGTTTCCATAACAACTCTGTGTACTGGTTTCCCTGGCTGCCTCGCTAATCCCGCTGAGGGTGGGGAACAGTCATCACTCAGGCCAGAGGAATGTGCAAGCCCTCAGTCCTGGCTCTCCCTCTCGTCCCCGAGAATGCCGTCCTCCCCACAGTCACCCACTCAGCCACTGGGCGTGCAGGCCTCGCTCCAGTGTGATTTGCAACCAGCCTGTGAGCCTCTGCAGCGTTCCTTGAGCAGTCAGATCCCTGTCAGGAGGTCAGAGCGGTGGCTCACAGGGCAGGAGTCACACGCTTCGGATGCAGGAGGTCTGGGTTCAATCCCTGGCCCCACCCGGGCCCTGAGCACAAACTGGGAGTGACCCCTGAGTATCACTGTGTGGCCCAGACACAAAACCGAACAAAAACCCAGCAACAGAAACACCTCCCTGTTTCAGGGCAGGGAAGTAGGACAGGGCATAAAGCGCTTGCCTTCTGTTTGACTGTGGAGATGGAGACACTGGTTCAAATCCCAGCACCACACAAAGTCCCCTGAGCACTGGTGGGAATGCTGAACCTGCCCCCAGTAAATAATAATTAACACAGATACCCACGGCAGCAGGAAAGTTCTCTTTTTCGTTTTGCTTGCTTGATTGATTTGGGGTTTGGGGCCATACCTGGTGGTGCTCAGGGGTTACTCCTGACTCTGTGCTCAGGAATCATTTCTGGAAGGCTCAAGGAACTCTACAGAATGCTGGAGATTGAATCCAGGTTGGCTGTGTGCAGGGCAAGTGTCCTCCCCACTGTTTTATCTCTCTGGCCCCCGGAGAGATGGTTTAGTAGGTCGAGCACACGCACTGCACACTGGAGGTCGGGCCTTGATGCCAGGTACCACATGACTCCTGAGCTCTTCCGGGACAAAACCAGGAGCACAGAGCCAGGAGGAGGCACTGAGCATAGTCAAGTGGGTTGAAAAAGTACCAAACCAAAACCCAAAGCCCAGCTCACTCAATAAATAAAGGTATCAGGCAGCATCATTGAAATGTGTAGGAGAGACACTTTACCAGAACTTAGTAAGACCCACTTTTCGGGTCCCTCGTCTAACAGACCTGGTTTAAGTCAATCATTCTCCCGTCTGTGTAAATTGTGCATTCTTCTCTAAATCTCTCCTGATGTATGATAGAATCTTCCCCCTGTTTCTTTGGGGGGCCATACCCAGGGCGCACAGGGCTGATTCCTGACTCTGCACTCAGGGATCACTCCTGGTGGGGCTCAGGAGACTCCCCCCGGAGTGCCAGGGACAGGACGTGGGTCAGCCTAGCGCAAGGCACCTCTTGCACTGTGCTATCACTCCAGCCCCTAGATTCTTTTCTTGTTAGTACTTAACACAGCACCGGTCACAGGGCAGGTGCTCAGCAATGTTCACTCGCCGATTCCTGCTGCTCAGCCTGAGCTCCAACTATCAGGTGCTATTAAGCAAAAAGGGGGCAGACAAAAAAGCACATGAGAAAATGCTCTACATCATTAGTCATCAGGGAGATGCAGATCAGAACCACAATGAGATACCATCTCACACCTCAGAGACTGGCCCACATCCACAAGAACAAAAGCAACCGATGCTGGCGCGGATGTGGCGAGAAAGGGACACTCCTTCACTGTTGGTGGGAATGTCCACTGGTTCAGCCCTTCTGGAAAACAGTATGGACGAGTCTCAAAAAATTAGAAATTGAGCTCCCATTTGACCCAGCAATACCACTCCTGGGAATATATCCCAGAGAGGGAAAAAAGTATAGCCGAAGTGACATCTGCACTTGTTTGTTCATTGCAGCACTCTTTACAATAGCCAGAACCTGGAAGAAACCTGAATGCCCAAGAACAGATGACTGGTTAAAGAAACTTTGGTACATCTACACAATGGAGTACTATGTAGCTGTTAGAAAAGATGAAGTCATGAAATTTACATACAAGTGGTACAACATGGAAAGTATCATGCTAAGCGAAATGAGTCAGAAAGAGAGGGATACACATAGAAAGTTTGCATTCATCTGGGGGATATAAAGTAACAAAATATGAGATTAATAACCAAGAATAGCTGAGATCAACACCAGGAGGAGTACTCCATAGCTTAGTGGCCAGCCGGGCATTCTAGAGGAAAGGGCAGCTCAGATAGAGAAGGGAGCACCAAATAAAGGGTGTTGGGAGGATCCTCCCAGGATGGGAGAAGCATGTTGAAAGTAGACTATGGACTGAACATGTTTGCCACTCAAAGCCTCTTTTGCAGACCACAACACCCAGAAGTAGAGAGAGAACAAAAGGGAATGCCTTGCCACAGAGGAAGGGGGGGGGGGGGATATTATCCATGGTGGTGGAAAATGGGCACTGGTGGAGGGATGGGTATCTGATCATTGTATAATCAAACCCAAGCACAAAAAATTGTAAATCTACAACTGTACCTCATGGTGTTTAAAAAATAAATTAAATAAACAGGAAAAAAAAAAGAGGGGCCAGAGTGATAGCACAGCGGGTAGTGCGATTGCCTAGCACGCAGCCTACCTGGGTTCGAGTCCCAGCATCCCATATGACCCCTGAGCACCGCCAGGAGTAATTCCCGAGTGCAGAGCCAGGAGGAACCCCTGTGCATTGCTGGATGTGACCCAAAAGGGCCCCAAATTAAAACATAAAAAAAAGGCAAAAGGTCTCATTGCAATGTGAATTCTCTTTGCTTCAGCATTTTCAAGTATTTCAGTGTGGAATCTCCCTTTGCAATGGCCATTGTGGTAGGAAGCATCTTAATGTTTCTTTGCCACATCCCTTTCTCTTCCCTTTCCCTGAGCCCCACCGCCCCACGATGGATAGAACTGTTGACTCCGAGTGGAACCCCTTTCTCCAAAGCATCACCAGCAGCTGATGGGAGCCGCCTGCCAGGAAAGCGAGGTGCCAATCTCAGTGACTGTCCACCCAGGTACCACAAAACCCAGACCTTCATATCCACAGGGATGAGAACTCTGCTGAAGGTCACCCCAGATGAGGCTGATCTTTAAAAAACATCGGTCCTTAACTCTCCTTCTCCAGGACCCAGCTTCTCTTTTTCCCATCAAGCTTTTCTTAAAGAAAACTTTCCCGGTGATCAGCACACACTCAAGCCCTGCCTCAGGCTCTGATTTGGGAGAAACCAACCTAAGACAGGGTATCTTGAAGAAACTCAGAGGCTGTAAGAAAGCACCACCAGGGGCCAGAGTGATAGTGCAGTGGGTAGGGGGTTTGCCTTGCACACAGCTGACCCAGGTTTCGCCTCTGGCATCAAATATGGTTCCCTGAGCACTGCTGGGGATAATTCCTGAGTGCAGAGCCCAGAGTAAACCCTGAACATCACCAGATGTGATTCCTGGGTGCAGAGCCAGGAGTACCTCCTGAGCATCACAGGGTGTGACCCAAAAAACAAAGAAAAAGAAGGAATGAAAGCAAGAGAGAGAAAGCAAGAAAGCAAGCAAGCAAGAAGAAAAGAACCACCAGAGGTTTTGTTCCTTCTTGAACTGCATGTTTATCCATACATATGTATTGTAGGCAGTGAGCCACATCTATTCAAATGTAAACGTCCGATCCGGGTTGTTAGGCATTCGAATGAATCGATGCTCTTGGCCAAGTTTGTGTTGACAAGGACACCGACGCCTCCAACACCTCTTTTATCGCATGTTCCGAGGAACAATTCTTCTCCAGTGTCGAAAACGGCATGGTGAGATTCGTGCCTTCTTGTCTCGGTCAGACCAATGATGTGGTACTTGATCATTCGCACTTGTACCATCAGGTCCTCGATGGATGCATCTGATGCTAGTGTACGTGCATTGAAAGTACAGATGATCATTTTTGTCTTCCTTCGTTGTGGCAGCCTAGGTCGGCCTTGAGATTTTGTCGGCCTCTCCTTTCTCATCCTTCTCAGTGCTGCCATGTCGGTGAAGCCTTCAGGGTCAGGTGAATGAGACCAGTTGTAGTTACTGGTTTTGGCATATCGAATACACAACGGATAGCTTGCCAGGCTCTTCCGTGCAAGAACATCAAGCAACGACTGGAATGGGAAGGAATGGGAGTGAAGATAGATGGTCGGCAATTACACCACCTCCGCTTTGCTGATGACATTGTTTTAATAACACCAAACATCAGCCAAGCAGCACAAATGCTGGTCGACTTTGACCGTGAGTGTGGAAAGGTAGGACTACAGCTGAATCTTACGAAGACAATGTTTATGAGAAACAGCCTCGTTCCTAATGCTCCATTCACTCTCAAAGGAATGACCATCTCCGAATGCAACAGCTATGTGTACCTAGGTCGAGAGGTCAACATGACAAATGATCTGGCACCCGAGCTGTGTAGGAGGAAGAGAGCAGCTTGGAACGCCTTCAAGAACGTCGAAGAAATAGCTAAGAGGACGAAGAACCTCCGGCTCCGGGCACATCTCTTTGATTCCACTGTTCTTCCTGCATTAACATATGCCTCAGAGACCTGGGCCCTACACAAACAGGATGAGAATGCTATTCAGGTCTCCCAAAGAAGAATAGAAAGAACTATGCTTG